TCCCTGGTTCTGGCCCAGCTGGGGCTCATGTGGCTGCTGGACCCTGAAGCCAAGGATTGGGATTGGGTGGGCCTGCTTTGCATGGGCTGGCACGTGGGGCCCTCTCCCCCCCCCAGGAGCCCAGAGCATTTCACAATGGGGTTCCCTCGTGGTTCCTTGACTGGCAGTGGCCCCTGGCTTCAGTGGGCTTGGGTTCCGCTTTGGGTAACAGCAGTACTTTCAAGTCATTGGATTGGCCAGCAAATGTGTGTGTTCTTTACCCACCTGGATTCTTCCGGGAAAATAAAGGGCAGTCATTGAATTCTCTCAAGAAATGCCTTTATTTAAAAACAGTCTTAACACTGTAATGCTAAACATTTTTTGTGTGGTTTTACTAAAGCCCGAAACTGACGGTGATTGTAGTGAAGAAGCGCCTGAACAACAGGTTCTTTGCACACATCAACGGGCGACTCCAGAATCCGCCACCCGGCACCGTGGTCGATGTGGAAGTGACCCGGCCAGAATGGTGAGTCGCGAGGAAAGAGCAAGCGCTTGTGCAAACAAGGGGGATGGGTGATGGAGTGGTGGGGGTTGATCTCCTGGCTCTGTGAAGAGGGAGGGAGGGAAGGGGGGCTTGGAAAGGGTTCACAAAAGGGCCAGGGGTCCGGGAGCCACCAAGGGACCCCTCAGGAGGAGGAGGAGGAGTGGCTGAGGGAGCTGCAAGGGGAAGCTTTGCTTGGAGGAGGAGGAGGAGAGGCTGAGCCAAGGGGAGCCGGGTTTAAGGCCTTGGGAGGGAGGTCCCATGGAGGAGGAGCAGCTGGAAGGAGAGGAGGCTTGTTCTCTGCTCTTCAGGGGAAAGAGGAAAGTCACTGGGGGGGGGAGGGGGGGCTGCAACCAAGCACCTCTTTCCAGCGAACCGATCTGCACCAACAGAGGCCCTGCCTGTGGGATATGAGGCTGGCTGCTCGAAATCCCACCCGGTCCCTTAAGAGAGCCGCCTGCTGCCTTTGCAAGTGGCTGGCCCCTCCTTGGCCCCCGAGACAGAGGGGGAGGGGGCCTGTTTCCAGAGAGGAGGAGGGGGCTCTTGCCTGTCTGCGTCCCTGTCCCAGGGCGACTCCTGGACCTCCTTCCATCCTTCCTTCCTTCCAAACAGGTACGATTTTTTCATCGTAAGCCAGTCGGTGAGGTGTGGGACCGTTGCGCCAACACACTACAATGTAATTTATGACAGCAGCGCCCTGAAGCCGGACCACATGCAGCGGCTGACTTACAAGCTGTGCCACATGTATTACAACTGGCCGGTACGTATGGCGGCCCTCAGGCCCTTTGCTGTTCACTGGAAATTAATAATGCCCTTGGCAGGGCTTGTCCTCCTCCCACCAGGCAGGCTCAGAATGCAGAACATACACAAACATGACTCACTGGAAGTGACAGGCCATGATGGGTCTGTGGGCTGGGGACCTTCCAGGGTGGGAGCCAGAGCATCCTGCTTCTGTGTTTGGAAACGTAAATACTGCAGCAAATCCTTGTTGGGCAGCTTGAAGGAATCCACTCTAGTTCTTTCAAAATTGGTTTCTCCATCGTGGTTAACTGTGAATCATGCCTATGGTATTCCCGGAGGGGCTTCCACTTTCAGGAGGTAGCCCCGCCCACTCTCCTCAAAGAGTATATAGCCAGGGGGGGGGGGGGGGCTACCGCTTCAGTTCCTTTCATCCGCCGCTCTGGCAGCAGCTAGGAATCTTTCTCTCGTTTTTCTTCCTCTTTGACTAGCATTTCTCAAAATCTGGAGCCTAGTGGGGGAAGGGGGGGCGTCTTTGGGACCCACAGGTCAGATACACCTGGAGACAGGCATCAAAATACAGGAGTCATTTGATTCCCAGCTGAATTATTGTATTTCCTCATGTCCTTGATTTCTCTCCCACCTTCCTTTCTCCTCAAGGCAGGGACTCGAGGCAGCTGACAATAACATGGCGCAGTCTGAGAGAGCTCAAAAGCTAGGCAAACACAACAGTTAAAAGACCATTAAATAGTGTGCCATGTATGAGAACCCCATTTAAATTAGCTTTAACAGTTAAGCATCCTCCCAAAATCCCCCCCCCCACGTTCTCTCCATCAGCAGCAGCAGCCCACCCCTCTCCCTCTCCCTCTCCCCCTCCCTCCGCAAAATCAGGCGGCAGAGGCCTCTCTTCTCTGCCTGCAAGCAGAGCCCAGCAGGGATTGGGGCCCCTGGTCAGCCAGGCCCTCTCTTTTGGAGGGGAGGGGTCTCCAAGGTCTGGGGGAGCAGCCCCTGTAAGGAAGGAAGGAAGGTCCCGCCTCCCTTGTTCCCCCAAAGAGCCGCCTGGGAGGAGGTGGGGCACGGAGGGGGAGGGGGAGGAGGATGCCCTTCCCAGAGGATGGCAGGGGGCTAACGGGCTAGTACAGAGAGAGAGAGAGAGAGAGAGGAGCCAAGCTGCTTTTTCATATTGGAGTTTGTATAAGTCGACCCTTTTGGGTGTTTTTCATTCTGTCCTTTCTTGAAAGTGTGAATCGCTTTGTGTCTTGTTGTCTAAGCAGAATGCAAACATTATGACAACAGGCTGGTCCTACTCTGAGTAGAGCTGCCTTTGTTCCCTGGGTCCTTGTGAGAAAGGTGGGGGGCAATGCCTGGAGAGGTGGATAATGACCCCCCCCCCCCATATTTGCATGCAGGGTGTGATCCGTGTGCCGGCGCCCTGCCAGTACGCGCACAAGCTGGCCTTCCTGGTCGGGCAGAGCATCCACCGGGAGCCCAACCTGGCCCTGGCCGAGAACCTGTACTACCTGTGAGGAAGAGAAGGAGGAGGAGGAGGAGGAAGGAGAGAAGGGGATCGTTTTTCCAATTTGAATGTTCTACTGTTTACTCAAGTCATGTGCCTTTCAGGGGAGGGGCTGGGTTGTTTTGGCCGGTTTGGCCTTGCACTTTTTGATTTATTATTATTTATTTATATTTTGAAATCAATTTTTATTGAAAGTTTATATAATTACATGGAAAGTGGGAGAATATATTAAAGGAGACAGAAAAGTTGGAAAATGAGATAGAAAGAGTAACAATAAAAACCACACACAGGGAAAATAAAGGATAAAAATAAAAAGGAAAAAATCCAAGTCCAATATAGTGTTTAAAAAAAGAAAAAAGGACGGGCTTCCTTCTAATTCTGCCCGTATTGTCTCTTTTGTTAATATGCACTTCCCTCTAAAAATGTCCTGTTATTTTTTGCATTTTTCCTGCTGACGAGTTAGTCCAGCTACATCACCTTATGTTTCTTTTCTATATAATCCTCAATTAATGACCAGTTGGTTTGTTTAACTGGATTGCCTGCGTTCTTTCTTAATAAACAAGTTAGTGTCTCAATGTCCTTGATTTCGTTTCTCTTTTTTATCCAGTGGGTCTTCTCTGGTATATCCTTTTGCTTCCAAAATTTCGCATATACAATCCTGGCAGCTGTTGTCAAGTACATAAACAAAATATCATCGTTAGAGTTCAAATTTATGTCTCTGTCTATATATAAATAAAAATGTAATGTTCATTTGTGGGATTAGCAGAACTCAAAAACCACTGAACGAATTGACACCAAATTTGGACACAAGACACCTAACAACTCAATGTATGTCCTTCACTAAAAAAATGATTTTTGTCATTTGGGAGTTGTACTCGCTGGAATTTATAGTTCACCTACAATCAAAGAGCATTCTGAACTCCACCAATGATGGAACTGAACCAAACTTGGCATACAGGACTCCCATGACCAACAGAAAACACTAGAAGGGTTTGGTGGACATTGACCTCGAGTTTGGGAGTTGTAGTTCACCTATATCCAGAGACCACTGTAGACTTAAACAATGATGGAACTGGACCAAACTGGCAGAAATATTCTGAAGATATGTGCCTCTAAGAGTTAAGAAACATTGAAATTGTCAAGCTTCTTCTATACTTCAATAAACTTGTATATAAATAAAAATGTAATGTTCATTTGTGGGATTAGCAGAACTCAAAAACCACTGAACAAATTGACACCAAATTTGGACACAAGACACCTAACAACTCAATGTATGTCCTTCACTAAAAAAAAAAAACTTTTAATTGGCGGACGCCCCGCCCAAACTCCCCATACTATAAATGCCCAAGGCGGGAAACCTCGGCTCAGTTCCTTTTCCGCGATCAGCAGTGTTTGGAACCTCTCTAGCGAGTTTACTAGCTGACTGATTTTTCTCTCTTTTGGACTCGGAAAGCCTTCGGATTTGTGAATTTCTCCTGCCCATCGACCACGGAACGGATTTTGACTACTCTCAGGCCAGTCCTCATCTTACAATGAGCACCTCCTTCAAAAAATGCAGCTCTTGTGGCGGCAAGGTGCCCGACTCAGACGGGCATTCCATGTGTCTGCTCTGCCTAGGGGAATCCCACTGGCCCCAATCCTGCCAAGTGTGCTTGGCGTTTACCCCCAGGGCTCGGAAGGACAGAGAGTCCAGGCTCAAAGCCCTGCTTTATGAAAGAGCCTTAGCTCCTACCTCCACCCGAGCTGAGAAGCGCCCGGCCTCAGAGGCGCTCTCTGACCCCCAGGAAGACCAGGATTCGGGGCTAGCTCCCTCCCAACTATCTCTGCAAGGGCAGGGAGTGGGGGACGACTCCCAGCCGGGGCCTGCGAAAAAGCCCAAGCCGCCGAAACAAGGGAAAATCTCCCATAAACACAAAGATGGGCTCAAGAAGGGAAAGAAAAGGGGGCAACTCGGCGGCAATTCGCCCCCGAGTCCCCATTCAACAAGAGGCGCAGCCCAGCGAGGCGCGGCCCGACCCCCCTCGGATGCCCCCGCAGGGGCGCGGGGAGAAACACAACAAATGGCGGATCAAGCGGCCAGATCGGAGGAAATCGCGCCAAGCCCTCCAACGCTCTCCCCCGCCGAGGGACTTCCATCGAGCGGCGCGCTCCAGGCCGCCCCGATATTAACCACGGGGCCTCCTTTAACTACCGACTTACCTGTTGTCGCCCAAGAAGTAGGAGACTCCTTAACCCCGCCTGGGCTGCCTCAGCAAGGCCAAGATCCCCCCTCTCCACCAGTAGTGCAAAGGGGAGATGGAGGAAGGGGCCACTCCTTGGAGCGCCGGCCACGCCACCAGCATCGGCACCGACGCAGATCCCCATCCATTAGCTCATGGAGCTCGCGCTCCCGCAGCCCGGTGGGATCCTACTATGGAGAGGATTACTCCCCGGAGCGCCACCATTCTAGATGCCTCAGGGATTGTGCTCAGTATAAGTACACCCTTCCTCATGCGGAGAGAGGATGTTGCCGCCATCTTTCTTGTTGCCAATACGCAGAGCACTCCCTCCCTCCTACTAGGGCCACGCCCCCTAGCACAAGCCTCGCCCATGCGGGGGCGGCACCTTCAGCTCCTCACCCTGGAACCGTGGCGCAGCCTCCACGGGCTGACGTGCAGCGACCCGGCCAGCCCAGCGCAACACCAGCGCCACCTGCTGCGGGCCCTTTGGTTCCAGCTCCCAAAGCCTCTGCACCGAGAGCTGCAACCCCAGGGGCCGATGCAATTTTTCTCTCGGGCTCCTCGGATTCAGAAGACCGCCCCCACTTCCCCCCTGAGCCACAACCTGACTCAGAAGCACTCTCCGCTGAGGAGCTTGGGGGCTTCTCTGCTCTGTTGATAAGGCTTTCGAAGGCCCTGCAATTGCTGGTGCCCCAGTCAACAAAGGTCGTAGAGGACCCGATGTTTCCCTCCTCCAAACAACATGACCCTCCAACGACTGTCCTGCCTTCCCTTCCATTCCTTTTACAACTCAGTAAGGCGGAGGGTGTTGCCCCGTCAGCAGTGCCCGCAACACCTAAGCGCGCAGAGAATCTCTATAAGGTGGATCTCTCTGCTGCTCCGTGGCTAGCCAAGCAGCCCAAGCCCAACTCCATCGTAGTGGATGTTAGCCAGCCTCGCCCCTCCCAGAGATCCCAGTCCACCCCCTCTGATAAAGAAGGGAAGAAGCTGGAAATGTTGGGGAAGAAGATCTACGCTTCAGCCTGCCTCGCTTCCAGGATGGCCCATTATGGGGCTTACATGGCAGGATATCAAGAACACCTGTGGGGCAAAATAGCAGGATACTTCGACATGCTCCCGCCAAGCGAGCAGATGCTGGCAAAAGCCTTCCACCAAGAAGCGACTCTGTTGGCTTCCTTTCAAAAGGACCTGGCCAAACATACAGCCGACGCTGCGGGCAAGCTCCTAGCGACAGCAGTGGCCCTGCGCCGCCATGCTTGGCTGAGGGGCTCGGGCTTATCGCAATCAGCAAAGACGGTGATAGAGGACCTCCCGATGGACGAGTCCAGCCTCTTCAACCCGGAGACGGACTCCCAGCTAGAGCATACCCAGAAGATGAGGCAAACAGCTCACAAATACGGTTTCTCTCCCTATCTGTCGCAGCATCACAGACAATACTGGCCAAACCGTTTTCATCAACATCGAAGACGTTACAGCCCTCCAGCCTATAGAGGACGCCAACGCCCTGCAGCTCCGCCACCAGCCGCCAGAAAACCATCTCTCCCATATAGGAGCCAACAACGCGGGGGAGGTAAACAACCTGAGCGCCAGAGGCGCCGCTTCTAGCCCTGAGGCTGGAAGCAAATCTCCATCCTTCTCAACAGTTTCACAAGTTCCAAGTTCTACAGTTGGCCCCATTGAGCCAAGTTTACTGTTTAATCGTTCTTTTTGTTGTGATGAGTACCTCCCACCCTTCCCGCGGGGGACCTTCAAGGACCGGCTGGCCCCTTTTCTGCACACTTGGAGGAGAATAACCACGGACTCTTGGGTCCTCTCCATAGTGGAACGAGGCTATGCTATAGAATTCGAATCTTGGCCCCCAGTGGGATCCATCAAGGTGACACCATCCTCCCCCCAGCTTCTGGAGGAGATCTCAACCCTCATAGAGAAAGGGGCCATCTCGAGGATCCACCCCCATCCGAGGCTGAATACTGCTTCTTTTCCAGATACTTTTTGATTTCAAAAAGAGACGGAGGCCTCCGCCCCATCCTGGATTTAAGAGATGTCAACTTCTTCATAAGACCTCGTAAATTTCGCATGATCACCCTAGCGAACATCCTCCCGTTGCTGCAGCGAGGGTCGTGGTTCGTGACTCTCGACCTCTGCGATGCGTATTTTCATTTTTCAATTAGGAAGGACCATAGAAGGTTCCTAAGTTTTGCAATAGACGACCAACTGTTCTCTTACAATGTACTTCCATTTGGACTGGCGTCCGCGCCTCAGGTCTTTACCAAGTGCATAGCGGTGGTAGCCGCGCACCTGAGGCAAAGGGGAATAACGATCTTCCCGTACCTGGACGATTGGCTGATAACTTCGGAATCGAGATCTCAGCTTCAATCAGACCTCACCTACACTCTGTCTCTCTTGCAGAGCCTCGGCCTCATAGTCAATTTCGAGAAATCCAACTTGACCCCTTCGAGGTGCATCCAATTCATCGGTGCTACCATAGACTCCATCGCAGAAAAGGCCTTCCTGCCAGAGGACCGCTTCCAGGCCATCAAGTTGGCGATAAACAACATCCGCACACAAGGGGGAGCCACTGCATGGGCCTTCCAATCCCTGCTCAGGCACATGGCCTCGACAACGTCGGTCATCATGTTTGCAAGGCTAAGGATGCACCCGCTGCAGCATTGGTTCGTCAGAGCGTTCAAGCCCCAACGCGACAGCCAGAACATCCGCCTGTACCCCCCACAGCAGGTCCTGGAGTCCCTCAGGTGGTGGACAACAGAGGAGCACGTCCTTGCAGGCATGGCTTTCAGACAACCGCACCCATCCCGCTGCCTCACAACGGATGCATCCACGCAAGGATGGGGGGCTCACCTCCAAAATCTAACAGTGCACGACAGATGGTCTCACGAAGAGGCGGCCTACCACATAAATTACCTCGAGCTCCTAGCTGTCCAGAAGGCCCTGCGTGCTTTCGAGCCCCATATCACCGGGCGCGCTGTCCAACTTCTCACGGACAATACAACTGTAAAATGTTATATAAACAAGCAAGGCGGGACGCACTCCTCCGACCTCCTCAGCTTATCCACAGCAATATGGGAGTGGTGCATTCCACGAATGATACATCTCACGGCAGTGCACCTCCCGGGCGAGGACAACACTCTCGCCGATGCCCTCAGTCGAGCACAGACATCAAATCACGAATGGCAACTCCATTGAGACGAGTTCCGGTTCCTGTCCCGCCATTGGGGCCAACCAACCCTGGATCTGTTTGCGTCGCCGGTGAACGCACAGTGCGACATGTTTTGTGCCAGACGTCACCCTGGATCGACCCAAGGGTGCATGGGGGACGCATTCATATTCACCTGGTCACCAGGCCTACTATACGCCTTCCCCCCAATCCCGCTGATTCCCAGGGTGCTGACCAAGTTGATCGAGGACAACGCGGATGCGATACTGGTCGCCCCCTGGTGGCCGCGTCAGCACTGGTTCGCTCCCCTCCTCAAAGCTTCGAGAGGCGAATACCTTCATCTGCGAGACAGACCGGACCTCCTCTCCATCCAGGAGGGCCGGGTGCATCACCCAGACCTGGTCTCCCTGCGCCTCACAGCGTGGAGAATCCGGGTCAAGCCCCTCTCTCGGAGGCAGTGCAGGACATAATCTCAGCGGCCCAGAAGGCCACGACCAAGAAAGCCTATGCATACAAATGGTCACGCTTCCGAGAATTCCTCAAGCCTCTGAATATTGACCCTTGGGAAGCCCCGACGGGGGTCATACTGGACTTTCTAGTGCATCTGTCCAACAAAGGGCTCTCCTTGTCATCCATCAAATGTTACCTGGCGTCACTGTCATGGTACTGGAGACAGACTGGTAGACCATCGTGCTTCCATGACCCCACGATACGGCTGTTCCTTAAGGGGTACTCCAACTTACATCCACCCGTTATGCCTCCTTCCCCAGCGTGGAGTCTAGAACTGGTGCTGTCGCAGCTCTCCAAACCACCCTTTGAGCCATTGGCCACATGCGACCTGTCACATCTCTCATGGAAGACGGCTTTTCTCGTGGCCATTACATCGGCCAGGAGAGTGAGTGAAATCTGTGCCTTGAGAGTCGACGCACCCTACCTACGATTCCACAAAGAGAAGGTGGTCCTCCGACCAGATGTCGCCTTCCTACCAAAGGTTGTTTCTAAATTCCACCTGTCATAGGACATTTCTCTACCGGCCTTCTTCCAGAATCCTTCTTCCCCTCTGGAGATTTCCCTGCATTCCCTAGATGTCAGACGGGCTCTAGCATTTTACACTAGCAGAACGGCCCCCCACAGGAAGTCAGTCAAGCTTTTTCTGAAATACCGCCAGGACTCTCTAGGATTACCTGTCTCCTCCCAGCGCCTTGCTTCGTGGATCGTCTCGACCATCAGACTTGCTTACCTGCTGGCAAAGAAAGAGCCCCCTCAGCAGATCCACGCCCACTCCACRAGGGCGGTGTCAACCTCWCAAGCTTTCCTGAGGGGTATTCCAATTGATGACATCTGCAARGCAGCRACGTGGTCCAATTCGTCGACATTCGCMGCYCACTACAGGCTRGATGCGATGGCWAGGAAGGATGCAGCCTTYGGCAGAGCGGTGCTGTTTTCCAGTGTCGCATGACTCCCGCCTCCAAAGGTTGGTAGCTTGCTATTCACCCATTATGTGCGTTTTTCACAGACTACACGAAGGGGAAATGCRAGTTGCTTACCTGTAACTGCGTTTCCACGAGTGATAGTCTGTGAAATTCGCACATCCCYRCCCGMCCTCCCCGCAGTAGTCATGCTTGTTCTATAGCTGCTGATAGCGGCTGCGGAACTGAGCYGAGGTTTCCCGCCTTGGGCATTTATAGTATGGGGAGTTTGKGCGGGGCGTCCGCCAATTAAAAGTTTCTATTTGAAAATTCTAGAAGGTTCCGAACGGCTGCGCATGCGCAGAACAAAACCCATTATGTGCGAATTTCACAGACTATCACTCGTGGAAACGCAGTTACAGGTAAGCAACTCGCATTTTTGTCCTTTAGATGTAGGGAATATTTTTGTGTTTCAGTGATAGCTGTAGTCTCCTAAGCACAYATGCTTTAATACAGCTCCATCTACCACAAGGTCAAAACACCCATCTAGTGGGAAATAGAGGTAAATTATTCTTTTCYCTATGACTTTTGCTGTCTGGAGACTGGATTTAATAATAGGAACACAGATGAAAGTAATTACAATATTACAGTTTTATTATAAACCACAACAAAGAATTTACATTAAAAATCAAGCCAGATAATGTATATCTGAGAACAAACACAACTAACTGCGAGTCTTTGCTGAAACATGCACACCATTTATTAGTGCTTCCTTCCAAATCCCCCATAGCTTCATTTTTGCTGGTCCTGGATTTTTCCCTTTATAATTACAGGTTAATAGCATTTTCTGTGGCAATAGATTTACTTACAAGTGAGATATATGTACATTAATGTGCTATTTTTACTAACATACACTATTTATTTTCTTTGCAAATACATAATTTTAATGCATATCTTCTCTAAACATACTCTCTCTTTAAATACATATTTTAAAAAGGTATTTTGATATATTGTTTTCAAATAAAAAAGAACACCAGCATATTGGGGAAATCCAAAAGCTTTTTGATTCACATCATTGTTCAGGAAGTATAGCCCAGGTAAGAAGATACAAAGATTCCTAAACATAGTACACAAGGAATCTCAGTGAGGTACACATAGAGGAGGTAATTTCTTAAAAACAAATGTGTGAAAGAGGTGAGGACTGTGTGCTATAAGCACTGACATTACAGTCTCTAGCTTCCCTATTCAGAAATAGGTGATATCAGGAATCTGTTGGTCTGGTCTCAATAGTCTTTAGTATTGTCCTAGAGAGACCTCTGGAGGTAAAAATAGAGTCTGCAGCTTTTCATTTATGCAGATTTTTGTGAATAGACTCTAACGTGCACAGGAATTTCCCCATCTTAATTTCAATAAATCCACAATGTTCAAAACTTGTAATGATCCAGATATTGTTGTACAATTTCTATTTGCTCTCACAAGCATAGCCAATGGTGACGAATGTTGGGTGTCATAATCCAACAACATCTGTAGGTTTAAATTTCTGTTTAATGCAAGAATACAGGAACTAGTTTGGTTCAATTCTTATTGACTATTGGAAGGATGGAGGATCAGTTTCTGAGAATTCTCTATTTTAATGTTAGTACATGTATACGTATGAAGTTCTGGATACATCTATTGCTTTGTTTTAGTATATATTAAGAGGAACATTTTGTTGATCATGTTTTACAAATTCACCAGTTTGGTATAATCTCTATGCCATCCTCAGAATAGTTTTGAGGAAACTTTCATTTTTTCTGTGCAGGTGAATCAACTGAAAAAATGAGTAGTGAAGCAGCTCAGTTACTTGAATCAACAGATGCTGCTTTAAGCACCCAAATAGTAAACAAAACTTCAGAAGAAATTGAGGCAGAAAAGAACCCAATTTCCAAGGAAATATGGATGGACTATGAAGACTTCTGTGTTTCTTTTCAGTAAGACGTGTTTTATTATTGTTGGAACATTTCTGGAAAAGTTATGTCCAACCATATTATACTAAATGATGGCTTTGTTAATGGACGTTAGTTTTACATTGATCCCAAACCATAAGCAATGTAAATTATCAACCGCGACTAACATAATTCCCATTGATTTCAGTGAGACTTGCCTCATCAGACTCCAACTACATAAAATGTAATAATGTTGCTTTCCATACATTATAGCAACATGTTTGGATAATTTATCAGATTTTCCTATAAACCCATAGTGTTTTCTGCAGACCTCTTCCTTTATACCTTTATATTAAGACCATAAAAGATATTTTTCCTATTACCGTATCTTCCTCTCTGCCTCTCAGATCTCACATATGCGCTCTGTGCCGCTTCACTGCAGTGCTCAGGAGCAAGATCTGAGAGGCAGATAAGGCGGTACGGTAATAGAATACAAGAGTGGGCCAGAGAAGTGAAATAGGGATGTTTTTCTGGGCACAGCACCGCTCTATCTCCTTTTTACATACCCCAGACGCCTGCAGCTTGCTCCGCTCTTCACTTACACCTTCCCAGTGAGATGCCCCCTCACCTCGTCATCAGGACTGTGTTAAGTCACTTCTTTCCACAAATGCTGGTGCGTGGATTTTCTTCTATTATACTTGTACAGTGCCATATGGTCGCCACATACAGCGGGGATGCGGCTGCAGCCATTTTTTTCACTCCCCCCACCCTATGCGGTGACCCCAGATTCTCCAGTCCGGCTCGGAAGTTTCAGCACCCACCCCATAAGACAACACCCAGCGTATAGGATGACCCCCGACTTTAGAGAAGATTTTCCTGGGTTAAAAAATAGTCTTATACAACAGAAAATACAGTACCTAACACCAGTGTTTCAAAATAAAGAACTGACATTCTCAGTGTAATTAGTTTTGATCTATAGTACAAGATTTTATTGGATAAAATTGTTGGACGAAGTTGGATAGAAAACATCAATCTTGCACAAAAAATACACACAGTTGCCTCGAAAGGGTGTTCTGTTTCGTTTTTACAGAAAACTAATGCAGCCCCCCATATTTTCTAAAACACTTGTTTAGATCTGTACACAATGTGCAATATTGAGCAAAATACTCACCATTTTATTATTATCCATAAAGGGTTTTCTGAGATTTTTTATGACAGAAAATGACTAGTGGCTACTTATTTACTGAAGTCTAATGCATCATTGACTCTAATTCACACCTCAATTATCAAAACCTTGAAACCAAAAAAGGGTGCACTCCCTCTTTCTCGGTGCTTCGCACACTTTGGCTCCACTTCCACTGGCTCATTTGCTGTCTTTGATGCCATTTCTCACAGAACAAAAAATTGCCAAGACAACAACCAGTTCACAACAACCCCACTCTCTCCCTCAGCCACCTCACTGGTTATCGCCCCTCACATTGCAAAGAACTGTATCCTTGTCGGCATCCTCTTTCTGTATCCCACCTTAAGAGCTCCCTATACAGCAACCTGTCTCTCCTTTACTCCCCTTTCTTTCTCTTTCCTCCACTTTTCTGTCTCCTCCTGTGCCCCCCCTCCTTTCTAAGCCTCCTCAAATGCTGACTCCATGGCAGAAGTTTCACCAACCACAGCAGTTCAATCTAGGGAGGCGGCAGGAGGGAGAGGAGAAGAAGGGAAACAGAGGGCCTACCTTCCCTTTCATCTCAATTCCAGAACTCAACTCCCTCAAATTCTGCAGATCCATCATAGTGAGAAGTGCTCTCAAAAGCTCCAGTTGAGTTACTGGTAATGCTCTGTAATGCTTTTTAAAAAAGTGTGCATTGGACTCAAGTAAATATGATACTTTTTCCATCCCTATCATGAGTGAACATGAAATTAACTGCAGAAGAAGGAGAAGGAAGTCAAGAAAGAAAAAACTGGTGATCAGAAAGGCAAAATATTGTATCCCTGTTCAGATCTACATACCTAAGGAGGGATTTAATATTTTAGGCCAAGCAAGTAATGTCAAATTATGAAACTCAGTTGGAGTAAAGTGAAATCAGTGCATTGGGTATGCCTATGCTGCATGTTAGTCATTGCTGTGGTTTGTCTATCATGAGCAGATCACTGGATTTTTTTTTCTGACACTTTTGTGTTAATGTTTATAATACTAAATTTAGGCTGAACATCATCACAGTCAGAGAAGAATGTGTTCAGAGATGTAATTCTGACTTACATCTTGAGCATTTCCTGTGTCCTACTAAGCTGCATTTTGTGTTTGTGACATGCAGTACATTGCTACTACTATTACTGGTAATGACAAAAATAATTTAATGCTCAGCTGAGGGAACATTAAATTCATTGTTCTTATAATTTTACATAAGGTGATACATCACAAGGGATAGATTTCTATATAATTGATGCTAAAATAGAATCATAGAATCAAAGAGTTGGAAGAGACCTCATGGGCCATCCAGTCCAACCCCCTGCCAAGAAGCAGGAATATTGCATTCAAATCACACCTGATAATTGTGTTCACTTTTCTTAGGAAGCTTTATGTTTTCCATAAACCAAATACCTATGCCTACACCTATCAGAAATCGGATTTTAGGGTAAGTAAATTGTATGCTGGTTTATTAATTTGTTTGTAAATATTAGAAACAATATACAATTATTGGTTTCCAATCTGTTTGAGAAGTATTGAATTGTTTTTTTATTTAAAAGTTCAGTTTGTTCATTTTAATCAGATCATATAGTTTAACAAACCAATCTTCCTGCAATTAGCCACATTCTTCCACTTCTGCACACAGAGCAGTCTGGCATGTGTGATGAGGTACTGAAAAACTCTTCCATACTATTCTTTCTAGCTGATCATCCATTAGTCCCAATAAAAATGATATTTTGATGAATTTTCAAATCCAAAATGTTCTCCATCAAATGATGTATCTGAGTCAAAAAATAGGTCCACCATATGTAATTGTATGTTCCTTCTCACAGGTCCACCATATGTAATTGTATGTTCCTTCTTTATCATTAGATTTTCAGCATGCATTGGTGGAACCCTTGTATATTTTAAACTATTTTTCAGGTATCAAACACAATACAGACAGTCCCCAAGTTATGAGCAAGATAGGTTCTGTAGGTTTGTTCTTAGGTTGAATGTGTATGTAAGTCAGAACAGGTTCCTTTTTAAGTGTAATTCCAACCATATATGCATGCTTGCTTTCAGTAGCATAGGGAAAGGTTAACACCCCTGTGATCTTTGTTCAGAAGATTTCACTACACATTCTGTCCCTGTGATAATTGGATTCTGGAAAAAATTGGCTTGTTGCGGAAACAAGGATTGGTAATAAAGCTTCAGCTGAGACTCCTTTTCCCCATGATACTCCTTCAAGAGTAAATTTCCCTTCCAAGGGATAGATTACTCTCACTTCATGTTTTCTCACCTCCATTCTTAACTATAAGTCATTTGTAAGTCAGATGTTTGCAACTCAGAGACTGTCTGTATGTATGATCCTAAGATCATATTTTAGAGTAAACACCAAACTACCTGTCCACATTTTTCACTTGAAAAAATACCGTTACAGGTAAGCAACCTGTTCATATACAGATATACACAAAATTGTGCATAAAGTTTCGGGAGGTAAGCAATCCCACCCAGCACAAGTGTTTATTCAGTTTCCAGACTTGAGAGTGAATTGTGTGATCTTCTTCCAATGCATTACAGTATGGCCCCAGCTGATTCCAGTGAAAAAAAGGAGTGTGGCCATCATATTAATGGTACTCTACTCCCCAAACTACTAATTATTTCAACCAATTGATTCATATGTTTTTTAAACAACCTATGAGATGAGATGGAATTCTGTGGCACTCCATGCAGCTGAAGAGGAATAATCAATGGCCCTAATACATTCTCCATGTTCAAACGTCATTTGGAATATCTAATTGTATTGTTAAACTGCACCTAATTATAATAATTATAGCTTACTTTGTCTAATAAATAAATCAATATAATGAATTCACCAAGGGCTAGCATAACTGTACTGCAAACCTTATTGGTCTTCAGAGCTTGTATTGTATTTAAACAATTGTTGTAATTAATTAAGCTCAAGTTTCAACATTTGTAGACTTAATACTTCATAAAGTTAACTAGTTATCTTAGTGTCTTTTCTATTTCACTACTGATTATTAATTCAAAACAGTAATTTAGGGTGCATACATAAAATGTTTCATATTAAGATATATATATATATATATAGAGAGAGAGAGAGAGAGAGAGAGAGAGAGGTTTTCATGAGATATGTTATGTCCCCATATATTTCATTATTACAATTTAGGTATGTGTCCATATCTCCTGTTTGCTAATAAAACTGAAATACCGTGTTAAGAAATAATGCAGGTATCAAAAGTGTGGCACCAACAAAAAATGTTTGGAAAGCTCTGCTCTATAGAATAACAGAGAGTAAGCTTGTACATGGATTCATTATTGATGTTTGCCTTCGGCTTGTTCAGTTGGTTTGGAAGCCCATAATGGCATGGGCACCACCACCATTTTTAACCAGCTGCAACAGAACAGTGGCTGTCAAAAAACAGCTGCTTTCGGTTACACATGGAGTGTGGGGAGGGAGGCAGATGTTAAAGAGAGAGCTTTGGAAAACTTCCTCTGCAGGGAGAGAGTGCGTACACTTGTAGCTCCTGTCTCCTCTAGAGTAGAAACAGCATTAAGAAAGCATTAAACCTGGGGGGCGGGGGGTGCTAGTTCTCCTTTCCACTCCAGTGCCTCCAAATCAAGAAAGAAAAGAGATTTTTAAAGGAAGACCTCCAAGTCTATCCCTCTTCCTTCCCTGGGAAATGGGAAACCTTCTTAAAATGCCTTGGAAAACGGCCTCCTTCAGAGAGAGAGAGCACACGCACTTGCAGTTCCTGTCTCCTCTAGAATAGAAACAGTTTAACTAAAGATTAAATCCAGTCTCCTCTACAGGCAGAAGGGAAAAGATTGTAGAAGTAGTAGTATCTTAACTTTAATGCTTTTAATCCAGGTCTTAATGAAGGATATAAAGACAAATGTGATGGGAAGAGGAGCCTGAGAACCCCCCCCCCCCCTCAACTGCCTCCAGTAGGCTGGATAGAAAATTAATATTTTGGCTTCCCAGATCAAAAATGGATTTTTGTCCTCCTGAATTCAGGAGGCTCCCAAAAAATGCATCGGGATCCCCACCGGAATTCAGGACACTAAAACAGATCAGTTTTCCTGGATTGCACTTCATTGAACTGTAGAACTTAGAGTAGAATTCAAATGCTTCCAAAGGCTACCTACTGCAAAAAACAATAAAAATTAAACGTGAGTGTTCTTTTTCTTTACAGATGATGGATGAACGTGTGTTATATTATTTATGTGTGGATAGTTTGAAGCCCACGGATATTCTGGTTAATTTTTCTGCGTTAGTGCACTGGGGAGACATGGGAGGTAAGATCAGTATAAAGGAAAAGCAGGTTAATATAGATCATATTGGATGTGGTCTATGGATTGCAGGAAGACAGGGAAAACCTGATAAAACAGGTGGGCAACTGCAGGGATAGCAACTTTGTCCAAATGCTTATTTTTTATCACTGAGCTCTTACAAAAGCCACAAAATAACAAAGTCTAAAACTAGAAACTGAGAATCCACTTCTGATTTAAAGCATTTCCATGTTTTCATCATGGTTTTTAAAATTATTTTATCTTCAATGGCCTTTTTTTATCTTACTGTGTAACTGTAATCATCCTTTTTTACCTTGTTCCTTAATTTTCATCAATTGTCATTCCAAGTCTTTAAAGTTTTCTGCTTAACAATGTAGTAAGTACCATGTACAAATCTTAAATTATTGATGTGTCTTTCTCTAACAGTATCTTCTCCATTTAACCCTACCCCTACTATCCTTTTTGTATGTTCTGCATATAAATAAAATCAATAGTGTGATTAAATTCACTCTTCTTATGAAATTCTTGGCATCTGGAAAACATTCTGTTTCCCTATTTCTCACAGTGACCTCTTATTCAGAGTATGGAACACAAATCAAGATAATAAATTCTGTTTCTTTTAGAGTAATCCATAGTGTTTAATGATCTATTCAATTAAAGGGATTTACTATGATCTGTAAAACATAGGTCGGTTTTCTTCTGAAATTCTCAGGATGCCCCATTCCCCAAGATGTGTTTGCAATATGATCACTAGTGCCTCCTCCTTTTCTAAATCCAACTTGCATGTCTAACATTTCTCTTTCCATATATGGTAACAGCCTTGCCATTATCAAAAACATGTTTTACAATGGGCCAGAAAAGTAAAGTCAGTTCAGCTATTAGTTGTGGCCTTGCAAGAAATTATGACTGGAGGAGCAAATTCATGGTTTTGAAATGAAAAATGTCAAGGAAATAAAAATATAAAGGTAATTGGTCTAATGCTTATAGCCATATTAGCCTCTTAGAATTTAAAAATCCAAGATAGCAATAGAATGTTAATGCTCCAAAAGTTACAAAATGACTGGAGAGCGGGCCGGTCACTCCAAATCCACTCGAAAAGTAGGCCTCAACGGCAGAAGCACGCTCCTCACTGTTCCAACGCATGATGGTGACTGAACTGTGTCAAATCAAAACTTTATACTTCCGCCTCTCGAACGAGACCACTAGCGCTCCGCTACGTCTTCAAACGACGGAATGGTGCGCATTTTTTAAAAAAAGGAAGTTATGCTGCCTCACCCTGTAGAACTCAATAGGAAACAAAAAATAGCAGTGCAGTACAGGTTGAGCATTTCTTTTCCAGAATTTTGAAATCTGATATGCTCCAACTTCCAGAATTGTATACACTGATGTCTGAGATAGTGATACCTTTGTTTCTGGTAATTCAGTGTACACAGAATTTGTTTCATGCACTAAATTATTTAAAATATTGTGTATAAAATTACTTTCAGACTATACATAGAATGTACATACATACTGAAAATGGATTTTGTGTTTAGACTTGTGTCCAATCTCCAAGATAACTCAATATGCAAGGGTACGTACTCCAAGATCCAAAACAATACATAACATAGTCCCAAGCATTTTAGATAAGTGATACTCATCCTGTATTACAGTTTAGTTACAAAACTGAGTTATATGCATGCTGTTTTTGTATTGCAGTTGCACAAAAAGAAGGCCATGTTTTGCCAAAGGGATTTCTTATTGTGGAAAATTATTCGTGGAAGAATCTGGCTCCAGGACAATTAATCTTAAAGATCCATACATATGCTTCTAAAGCCGCTGTTATATGTCTTCCTGCTGGGTATGTGCAAATTTGATTCATCTTTCCGATAGTTAAAGAAATAATTTCTATTTTCTATAAACACTTAAACTTGTCAAAGCATATTGTATACATTACTTCTTAACTCTTAGCAGCAGCCCTGTAAGGGAGATTAGCACATTATTCCTGTATTTCTGCATATATATTCTGAGGCTGAAAAATGTATTTATGTAGAGTTTACCTTTGTGGATAACAAATGAAAATATTTCCAAGTCACTGTCTTACAGAAAAATTCTATGTTGTTTGCTCAATAAAGTATTCTTAGAATTTACTCCCTGTGACCTCACTCACTATTTGTCAGTAGAGGTCTAGTATCTTAATGGTGACAATGCCGCTAAATACTCAGGCTTTGTTATTATTCTCATTTTACAAGTAGGGGAAACAAGGCTGAGATAACCATGGCATGTCTAAAGCCACCAAATAACTACAAGTGAGTCTCTGAGATGTGATTAGAACTAGAGATTTACCACCTTATTTTCCTAGCTATTTCACTGTTCATTACAGCACATTGTTCATTACAGCACATATAGCATATGACTTTTTATTGCCCTACAGTAGTTATCACATTTTTCACAGAGATAAAGCCCACAAGGAAAAGCCAAAACTATCACACAATTTGTCATCCCACAGACTCTAGAGAACATTTTTGAGTAAAAAAAATTGAAATAAAAATACATTAAACCAGAGTGAGAGCAGGCAACAATGTCATGGAGCAGCTATAAAAGCCAATGGAATTTTGGCCTGCATAAATAGGAGTATAGTGTCTAGATCCATGGTAGTCATGCTACCCCTCTATTCTGCCTTGGTCAGACCCTACCTGCTTCTTCACAGGGGGTTGGACTGGATGGCCTATGTGGTCTCTTCCAACTCTATGATTCTACGAATGTCCTCTAAGAAGCATGTATGACTCTCAGACTTTGATCAGTTGCCCACTACTGCAGTAAATATTTTGAAATGGAAATGGCACTAAACAAACTTGCAAACTTGCACTAAACAAATTACTGTGATGTTAGAGTTATTTGACTCATTAATGTGCTTAATTTTTAAATGTAGGCGCCATGTTTTGCTCTTCACTGCAAGTTCTCCCATAGGGCACCATATTCAAGTGTGCAGTATGGTGCCGTGTGTCTTTGGTGAAGAGGATATTGTTCTTCCAAATCTTGAAAAGGTATTTGTTACTACAGCAGCTAGAGCTATTTTCCCTTTTATCACCATTAACTTTAAAAAGCTAACCTTTTTAAAAAAAAATCTGTGTAGCAAAGTTTTTCTGTTGCAATATTCTCCTTGACTCCATACAGAGAAAGGATGAATACACATTCTGTTAAAATGTACTATACACACTTACAGTTGTCATAGCATATAAATGTTGATCCATATATTATTTATTTTAAAAGAAAAATAAATAAATAAAAATTAAGCTATTCTTAATTATTAGATGTCACAGTGGCAAATTGCTCAGCAATTGTTAATTGGCAAAAGCCCAAGTACACAGACAGTATTAATCTTTTTATATTCCTTGATGGTAGTTAAGTAGATTTAAAACAATGAAGAGTGAAACCATATGCCAAGTCATTCTTCTTATACAGTTTAAGGTTGACATAATATTATCCCCATTCTTCATCATAATACATTTGAAATTGCCTAGTTAGAGGCGGAAAGGGTAAAAGAAATAATTTCTATTCAAAGTAAAAAACGTACACATTACTACTTAAAGTGAAGGATCCTGTGAGACTGTGAAGTCAAATTATGCAATTATTAACTGCAGATCTGAAATCCAAAATATGAAATTATTAAATGCGATTAAGAAAACAATGCTGTAATTGTCCTAGAGTTTTATTTAAACATGGGAAGCATTCGAAATATATTTGCTTGACAGAATATTTCTAAGGAGTAAATTTACTCATGCTGATTGCAAGAGGAATTTAGAAATTTGGTTATTAGCTCTGATATTGGTACAGACTAAAGTCAAGTGCCCATCAATTTTCTCTCCAAATCATATGGGAAGATAATTTGGGAAGCAGCTTCATGGATGTTGTAGTTTTATAAGGCCCTTAACTTTGTCTGCCAAAGATTTCTCGGCCCTCACCAAACTGATCCCATGTTTCCAAAGTATTGACTTGTGGCAGGTAAAGTGGATTCAAACTGCATTAGTTCTGCAGTTAGATCCAATCTGGAGAAGCTCAAAATAACAGCTAGTTCAAAAAATGAGCAGCTTGGAGCTTATCCAGATTTTGCTCAGTAGCATTAATGGAACTTGCAATAAATTTATATATGGAAGATAGCTCACCCTATCTTTCATTCCTTTCACTCTGTTCAAATGCCTTGGACTGCTTTACGTGAAAGCAATTATTATGTATGATTTTTAAAAAAATAAAAAATAGTATCACCAATTTAGTCTTTCAGTTGTTCCAAATGAACTGAGTTTAATATATATGTTTTGGAGTATTAGTAAGCTCTTAATGGTTTCGACTGATGATTTCTCCATAGGAGAGCTACCGGTTTATGGAACAAGCCTCAGCTATCATGAAAGCCCTTGGAATTGTGCTCATTAATTTTGGGAATGCAGAAAACCTTGCCAAAGCTATGAAAGACCTGGAATTGGCACACTGCCCTCCTGACCTCAGTGGCACAGGAATACTGAGAGAGCACTTCAAGGTGAAACAACAGGAACTATTCCTTCCATAACATTATAAAATAGAGTGATTGTTGTATTTAATCTATATAGCCCTTTAGCCGAATTGCTCCTTTTGGAACTACTCTTTATGCCCTAACCACTCAATACATTATGTCAACAATAAAGAAAAATGTAGGAATGATGGGAAGAAAAAAATCTAGTAGCACTGTTGAGACGAATCAGTTTATTTCAGCACGAGTCCATGTTTAGTTTCAGCACGGGCAATGCTGACAGGGGATAGGGAAAAGGCAGAACTACTTAATGCCTTCTTTGTCTCGGTCTTCTCACAAAAAGAGAGTCTTCAACCTCAGCAAGATGGAGTGGATGAGGGATTGGAGGACATCCAACCCCAAATTGGGAAAGAAGTCGTCCAGGAATACCTGGCCGCTCTTAATGAGTTCAAGTCCCCAGGGCCAGATCAACTACACCCCAGAGTATTGAAGGAACTAGCAGAAGTCATTTCGGAACCATTGGCAACCATCTTTGAGAGTTCTTGGAGAACGGGAGAAGTTCCAGCAGATTGGAGGAGGGCCAATGTGGTCCCAATCTTCAAGAAGGGAAAAAAGGATGACCCAAACAACTACCGTCCGGTCAGCCTCACGTCGATACCGGGCAAGATTCTGGAAAAGATTGTTAAGGAAGTGGTCTGCAAACACTTAGAAACAAATGCAGTTATTGCTAATAGTCAACATGGATTTATCAAAAACAAGTCATGCCAGACAAATCTGATCTCTTTCTTCGATAGAGCTACAAGCTGGGTAGATGCGGGGAATGCCGTGGATGTAGCGTACCTGGATTTCAGTAAGGCCTTCGACAAGGTCCCCCATGACCTTCTGGCAAGGAAACGAGTCCAATGTGGGCTAGGCAAAACTACGGTGAGGTGGATCTGTAATTGGTTAAGTGGACGAACACAGAGAGTGCTCACTAATGCTTCCTCTTCATCTTGGAAAGAAGTGACAAGTGGAGTGCCGCAGGGTTCCGTCCTGGGCCCGGTCCTGTTCAACATCTTTATTAATGACTTAGATGAAGGGCTAGAAGGCATGATCATCAAGTTTGCAGACGACACCAAATTGGGAGGGATAGCCAATACTCCAGAGGACAGGAGCAGAATTCAAAACAATCTTGACAGATTAGAGAGATGGGCCAAAACTAACAAAATGAAGTTCAACAGTGACAAATGCAAGATACTCCACTTTGGCAGAAAAAATGAAATGCAAAGATACAGAATGGGTGACGCCTGGCTCGAGAGCAGTACGTGTGAAAAAGATCTTGGAGTCCTCGTGGACAACAAGTTAAACATGAGCCAACAATGTGATGTGGCGGCAAAAAAAGCCAATGGGATTTTGGCCTGCATCAATAGGAGCATAGTGTCTAGGTCCAGGGAAGTATGCTACCCCTCTATTCTGCTTTGGTTAGACCACCTGGAATATTGTGTCCAATTCTGGGCACCACAATTCAAGAGAGATATTGACAAGCTGGAATGTGTCCAGAGGAGGGCGACTAAAATGATCAAGGGTCTGGAGAACAAGCCCTATGAGGAGCGGCTTAGGGAACTGGGCATGTTTAACCTGAAGAAGAGAAGGCTGAGAGGAGATATGATAGCCATGTATAAATATGTGAGAGGAAGCCACAGGGAGGAGGGAGCAAGCTTGTTTTCTGCTTCCTTGGAGACTAGGACGCGGAACAATGGCTTCAAACTACAAGAGAGGAGATTCCATCTGAACATTAGGAGGAACTTCCTGACTGTGAGAGCCGTTCAGCAGTGGAACTCTCTGCCCCGGAGTGTGGTGGAGGCTCCTTCTTTGGAAGCTTTTAAACAGAGGCTGGATGGCCATTGTCAGGGGTGATTTGAATGCAATATTCCTGCTTCTTGGCAGGGGGTTGGACTGGATGGCCCATGAGGTCTCTTCCAACTCTTTGATTCTATGATTCTATGAATATGCTGTAATATGTTGAAAGGATTTAACTTTATGAGGTAGCTTGGATTTGCCACACCAGGCTACTGAATCTCTTACCTCTGAGAATACCTCTTTAAGGCCAACTTCTCTGGCAATAAGCTCCATTAAACTAAACAGGATAGATTTCAGGGTAGGTATGTATAGACTAGTGCTGTAAGAGATTTAGACCAAATTCATGAAAGAGGTTTATGTCGGCCAGTCGTTATGACTGCATGCTATCTTAAGAGACAGCCCTGCTCTTAATATGAAGTGCTGGTGAACAAGAAGAGAAGACACTGCTCTTATGAGGCGTTTTAGAGCCTATGGGTAATAACTAAGTAAGTCTTCGATATGTGGTTAACCATTATAGTGTATGTGTGTGTTCCTTTATTATAGTAGCTAAGCAGGATTGAAAACTACAGTTGGCTCTCTACATGTATGAAGCCCAGTTGATTGCTGTTAGTAGATATGCTGGCATTGATTAAATATGTTCATGGTAATTATGACTATAAAGATCAGGCAGCCAAGGGTAGTAGAGAGAGAAAGATCTTAAAATTAAATTCTTTGACGGGAATATGAAATAATCCCAACCACTCGCTGCTTCACCAAAATATAAAGATGACACCACCACTACAGACCAGCTCACCAAAATATATAGAGAGAATAGTTGTTGAACCAACTGAATACTTAAAAGCTAGGAACTGGGAACTGGAACTGAGAGACTTAAAATGATTCTTTAAAAGATTTCCGCTGCCACCAAATTAATAATAAACAGGGTGAGTTATGATGGAGAGGTTGTTCAGTAACACACTCTGTGTCACCATAATTTGCTTAGAGGCTGTTAAAAGCTGGTTTGAATAACTCTTTTACCACAAATGTATTCACACTGAGGCTGGTATGGGTTGATAAAAATAACAAGAATGTTTATTGAACAGGCTTGAAATATTCAGGTACAAGTGCTTGATGGTTTCAGTAAAATTCTGGCATACAAAGCTTGTGGTTACGTTTGTGAAAAGATCTTAAAACTTCTGGGTTACAAGTCTTAAAGTTTCAACACAGAAAATTACTTCAGGAAATGAATCTCTGAAAGTCACTGCCACAAAAATCCCCCTTAGGAATCTAGCCAAAAACCTGAACTAGCCTTCCTTAGGAAAATAAGCAGACCACTAACGGGGTTCTGCTCCACACAGTATTCTAGCTATATTTCTCAATAGCTATCCTGAATACTACACCAAAGACTGACCCAAAGTTCTTCTTCAAAAACCCAAAACTGCTCTCACTAACACCCAACATCTTCGCTCTACCCTTTCCAAGCGCCAACTCCCAACTAGCAAACTGGAAACAGTTTAAAAGTCACTTTTTTCCTTCAGACCACTTAGGCTCCACCCCCATCTTCCTAAACAATCCTAGCCTTCTAACACGCCCCCTTAAGGCAAACCTAACCTAAGATGGCTTCTCCCTGTCTCCCTTCTCTAAAATGGATGCCATGGCTTCACCAGGCCCACTCCCTAGGCTTTTGCCAGCCAATTAAGGTAAAGGATACATTACATTGACACTATATATGAAGGAAATATCATTTAAATTCAGATTATGTTAATTTAACATTAACAGGCCAAGTTGACCTGGTACCAAACAGAAATTTTATGTAAAAAATACTCATGTTATAGATCCTGATTTTTCACTCTGTCTAGTAGAGAGCTGGGGAAAGTTTCTTTTTCAGACTGCACCTTCCACAATTGCTACTGAAACTGTTGTAACTGGTCACACTAAGTGGAGGATTTGGTAGTATGGAGAAGCAAATCCTCTGGCCCATTGAACAGATATGTAGTTTGCTATATGTTTTTCCTTTGGTTTGTTTTTTTTATTTTGTTTTATTGTAATGTGAAGTAGAACATGTTCTAACAATATTTTTCTTACATTTTAGGTTTTCAATAGTGCTTTTTGGCATTTGATGAAACAAATATTAGGGAATGTTCCTCCTAACTATGTGTTTGCTTACAAAAGTTTCACTTTGGATGTTAAACACAGTGATGTGTCTGTTGAAGATACTGCATCCTCAGGTACTACATATAGCACTGAAATAATGTATCTTTAGCTTAATATTTTGTTACTAATGTAGATTAAGCAAAGAAATTCAATTAAGTCTTGCAAATAACACACCAAGCCCAGAGACACAAATTTTAGGAAAGAATCCCGCATCAAGTGTATGCACCCTTGCAATGGCTTCAAACTACAGGAAAGGAGATTCCACATGAACATTAGGAAGAATTTCCTGACTGTGAGAGCTGTTCAGCAGTGGAACTCTCTGTCCTGGAGTGCGGTGGAGGCTCCTTCTTTGGAGGCTTTTAAACAGAGGGTGCTTTGAATGCGATTTTCCTGCTTCTTCACAGGGGGTTGGACTGGATGGCCCAAGAGGTCTCTTCCAACTCTATGATTCTATAACAGACCTAATATGATGTGACTGATTTAATTATGTATTAATTCAATATTATGATCAGAATATAGATTGCAGAAGAAGACAGCTATGGACAGCTATGAAAAAGCTAAACCATGTGGTGAAATACAAAGATATACAACTGAACATTAAAGTTCGGATTATCCATGTCATTGTATTTTCCTTCCCTATGCATGAATGTGAGAGCTGGAAGGTAAATAAAGGTGACAGAAAGTTAATCAACTCTTTTGAGAAGGTTCTGCAAATACAGTGGATGGTTAAAAAGGCACACAGAAGATTCCTAAAATAATTTATTTATTAATTTTTAGCCCACCTTTCTCCCATGGGTGGGATTCAAAGCAGTGTACAGTGGTTAAAAGCAGCAAAAATTATATAACATAAAAAATCAACAAAAAAATCATATAACCGAATAAATAGATTACATACTACATAAACTATATAAATCAAGCCTGAACTCTCCCTAGAAGCTAAGATGAGTAAATTGAGGCTCTGGTACTTCAGCTGAACCATGGGAAGGCATGATTCACTAGAAAACACAATAATGTATAAGAAAGGGAGGTCAAATTTCAAGTAGATAGACTCAATCAAGGAGGTTACAGCCCTGAGTTTGCAGGATCTGGGCAGAACTATTGAAAATTGAAGTGTCTTATTCACAGCGTCGCCACAAGTATAGGCAGTCCTGAAACACATTGTTTGCAGAGTGCACAGACCACTTCAATACTACTAATATATTCAACATCTTCAGTATGCTCGGTGCATTCAGCAAACAACTATTTAAACTTCAATGGATTTTTGATCAAGTTTTAAAATATAATCTGAAATTCCTATATCTCTATTCCGTAAAATGTTTAACCATTTCTCCTTGTTTTTGAGCTCCAGATTGCAACACTGATGCAGTTATAGGCTACGACAAAAGAAAACGTTTAAGTCCCATATGTGTTCCTAAACTTTTATTAGATTGCAGCTTTAATTGGCTCCTTACACAAAGAGTAGCACATATCATTTATCTAAACTTGCAATCCATAAAGCACAAAAGTAAACAGTGAAAACACAATTTGCCTTTTATGTTTTCAAACTGTCAGCTTTAAAAGCATTCCATTTACTGTGAAAATGAGGCTGCCCACGTGATGGTTGAAACAAGGGCAAGAAGACCAGCATGTGATGCACTTTTTGACCAGTACTTGACAATCAAAGTTGCCAGGCAAATTAGAAGTACTCACCTTGATTCTTGTACTTTATCTGATAAAAACATGGGATATCTCTAAAAATCTGTTTTAGTAATTGTGATTAATATTGATGATAAATTAGGTTTCCGTGAATGTATTTGTTTAATTTACATCCCAGTTTTCTCATGGGATCCAAGACCACAAGGTATGACCTTTTGGGAGCACAATACAATTAAAGCCACCTGTGCTAGTGACATTCTAACTTTACATTTGGCAATAAATCCCATAAACTAATATACATTATGTAAATAAAACATTTTAATGTACTTTGCATTCAGTTATTGTTGTTGGGGGACCTTGACTCCTACCATTTTGAATTCAATTGTTTCTTAGGAATTTTGTGCTAATATATGAAAAAGCTGAGGGAAATAGCTTGGGGTGGTAGTTTGAGTTGTCAGCTTTGACTCCAGGAGACAAGGGTTCAAATTCTGGTTCAGCATGGAAACCCACTGGTAGTCTTGGGCAAGCCATAACCCTAGAGGAAGGCAGCGGCATGCTTCTTTTGATTTAAGTCTTGAAGTTGACTTCAAGGAATATAAAAAAGTGCTTTAAATCAGTAAGACTTTAGTTGTTTAAGTAGTCATAGGCAAAAACCTGAGAAAATTGAGGTGTCCACTGAGAATACACAAGGTGAAAAGTGTAGATCAGAAAAAAAGGGCTTTTACATAACTATTCTTAAAAAATGTCAAGTAGAGCAATGACTAGTGCATATTCATTCATCTCTTTTTCAGGTTCTGCTTGGTAATGGATTGGGTATTGCTTATATGATAACTTTTTCAACCACAATATAATTTCTTATACACAGGGCCAGGGCAAAATGTACAATCAGAATGTCCTTCCTAAATTTAGAAATTGCAGCCAATCACTTGTCTATTGAAATCCTACAAATTATTTAGTAGTGTATTGTTTTGTTTCTTTATTCAGTGTCCCAACTCTCAGAAATGTAGGCCTTCCCGAGGACCAGGCTTTAGAAGTTTGTTTTCAAGCGATATGTACACCCTAACAGATACTTCCAAAGTTGTGGCTTCTGATACTAGGCCTGAACTTTGAGACATTTAGTGTTTTGAATACAAAGCTTGAGTAACAAGAACAAGGGTCACATTAAAAGATATAATTGTTTACTTTGCAATTAGTGTTTCAGATACATTTCACAATGTGATTCAGTTGGTGCTAAAGAGAGGGATGATATTTATAACTTGAGATTTGATCATACTAAAATTGTCATTTTTGACTGCACAGAGCATTATTTTCAGTGCTTTGAAATCATTACAAATTTAGGCAAGAGATTTTTAATTTCTTATGGTTTACATTCATATTCACTAAGTCTGTCTCCTGATAGTAGATAGTATTTTCTCAATAGCTGTTGTCTGATATGACTATAACAGAGAATGCACATACAAAAAACATGTGGGAATGGGACCAAAAGCATTTATATTTAGAATGGCAGCCAGTCAGCTATACTTTGATCCAATTATGTTCCATTCATTTCCCTCCCTTCAGACATAAGTGTTTAAGTATTGAGCATACTCTGTTGTTTTTGATTTGACTGAGTGATTATTTTCCTTAAATTTCCCCTGCTAGAAGTCTTTCCCTTGTTTTATAGTGTAATTCTGTTGATTTCCCCAACTGTGGTGGTACTTCCATCTTCTGAAAAATTGACATTTGGTGTAGGGTTCTGCATGTCTCTGTCGCTGTCTCTCTCTCTCTCTCTCTCTCTCTCTCTCTCTCTCTCTATATATATATATATATATATATATATATATATAAAAGTTTTTTTTATACTGCCTTTCTAGGCAACAAGCTCACTCAGGGCAATTCAAAAATAAGATATACACTTAAAAATAAAAGATAAAAAATATTCCACTCCAATCCACAACATTGTTTTTCAGCTAATGTGAATTTGAATTTAGCAGTGAACCTGTGATTATTTTCTTCCTTCAGAGGTGACAGACACAAATGTTTCTCCTTCGCAAAACAAGGACCCCACCCCAGAAGAAGAAGAGGCTGCTCTTAAACTTCAAGCTGCCTGGCGAGGAACTTATGTCAGACTAATAATGAATGGCCGAAAACCAGGTTGGGATTCTCCACCCTCATTTTGGCCATCATGCATTAGTAATAGATATTTTATATAAGACCATTATTTTGTCTGTTTGTTATTTTCAAGCATTCTTAGAGGAAGAGGATGGGAGAACTTGCTAAAAAGGGAAGTGAGAATTTTCTGATAAATGTAAGGCTGGGTTAGGGGGACTCTGATCACTAGAGTTGCAATTTGGTTGAAGGGTATGATGCTTCAGAAGTGATTTTTCTTTTTTTTAAAAAAAATTATCATTGTGCAGATTCCTCCCCCACCCCCCAATAAAACCACCATACTTGTTCTACAGGGCTGGGAAACCAAGTGGTAACACAGGTCCTAGGGCCCTCCACACAGTCATATAACCCAGAATTTCAAGGCAGAATAACCTACACTATCTATTTTGAACTGTAATATCTGAGTCCACACTGCCATATATCCCAATTAAAAGCAGATAATGTGGGATTTTATTCAGCTGTCTGGAAGGGGCCCCAGTCATTTAAACTCCCTGATATTGGGTCTATAGTCAGGATACTAAGGTGTAGATCACCTTACATTACCCTCGCTTTTAAATAAAATGGGATCAGTTTGATGTCTGTAGCAATAGTTTATGATTTGTTTTTGTGTCAGGGGCGACTTGAGGAACTGCAAGTCGCTTCTGGTGTGAGAGAATTGGCATCTGCAAGGACATTGCCCAGGGGATGCCGGGATGTTTGATCTTTTACCATACTTGTGGGAGGCTTATTTCATGTCCCCGCATGAGGAGCTGGAGCAGACAGAGGGAGTTCATCCACGCTTTCCCCAGATTCAAACCCCCAACCTGTCGGTCTTCAGTCCTGCCGGCACAAGGGTTTAACCCCTTGCACCACCAGGGGCTCCATCATTTATGATCATATGTACCCTTGCAATCACCAGGGTTTTTCACTTTTGTACAACCTCGCTATCACCTTTGTATTTGGCATTATTTTAGAAGCATGGCTTTTAAATTAATTTTTACTTCTGTGTTCCTCATGCATATTTTAGAAACATTTTACAATATCATCTAAGAAAAGCAATGTATTTGGGTAAAATTAACACATTGGGTCAGAATTTAAAGAATGATACAACCCTTCTTCCCAAATTACATGCCCAGAACCTGCTCCAGAGGAATGAGCTGGTTTTTGAGTTGTGCAAAAGGCTGCAAGGAGGAGGGGGTGGAAATAAAATGGCATTGTGAAGTCACACCACTTAAATGGCACTCTCCATTTTGTTATTCTCCTGTTGGCATAGCTATATTGTGCCTATAAGCATGTGCTAGTTTTTTGTAATAAAAGCAACAAGGAGTCCAGAGGCACTTTGGGACTCACACATATAATACAGCATGAGGTTTATGTGATATAGCCGGCCTTATTGAATACATGAAGTATTATCATCTGGAATATTTATACATTGCAATTGTTGGTTACAGTGGGAGAGTTTAGGCAGTGATGTCAGAGGAAAATTAAATGCCGATTTTTTTGACAATGACAAGTTATTAACACTGCTGCAATAACGCAAACTACTTGTCACCGATAAGCCAACTTGAACTTGACTTCTCTTCACTTTATTTCTTAATTAGTTGCTCTCCACCAAGGCGCTCCGAGCGACTTACAATCTAAAATAGCATTTACACAATATAAAAACATTTACACAATATAAAAACTTAAACATGTTGTGTCAAGAGACATGATTACCCTGTCTCAGACATCTGATGATATACTGGAATTTCCTAATGATTTATACCTCAGCAGTCTTTCAAACTAGCAGCAGAATATTCACTTAAATAGTGACGGGAATCTTGGAGCTTCAAATCTTTGTCCACTGGTTTTTCAGTATCATTATTTCTGATGGCAGAAGAATATTGCCAGAGAAGACCACATAGATAGCATTGTAAGACAAACACATAGACACATCAGCAATGCTGTAGATCACATCATTAGGTCCTATAATTGTACTGTAAAGAGTTCCAGCTTCCTAATTGCAAGGATCTTACATTTACTTCCCATGGTAACATATAGAAAAGAAGAAACAAAATTACTGATGGGCTCCCAAGTGCTTACTGATTATTTTTGTTATTATTATTGTCATTGCTAGTGATTCTTTTGTTGTAGGTTAAAGAACTGTCGATAAATGAGCACAAGCAAGCACCCAGAATATTATATTTTACACTTTATATATTTAGGAAAAATAGTATATTGATTATCTATTAGTAACCTATTTATTGATTGATTTTTAGGCACAAAGGCGAATGCTAGAGTCAAAGATACACTCCAGAAATTGTGGGCACTAATTGAGCCAAATTTTGAACTATGTTCTTTGACATTTTTGAGGTAACATGCGCTGTAATGCTACATATAATGCTTTTGTGATGCCACATATAAAATCCCCCTTTTACTTCAGAAAAGGATGTTTTCTTTCTTTTCCAGCCAGATTTGCATAGATGGCAGGAGAAGTATTACTGGGCCAGATATGGTCCAAAGGCACTGCAATGCATAGTTGCAATCTGAGGAACATTTTTACCCTATGACATTCTCCCTGCTGGATAAGAACACAAAGAGATCTACTTAGGTCCCAGTTGTTGTTCATAGTAATATGCAGACAATATTCTTGCTTGCATAGACATACACATGGATTTTCTGTGTAGCAGAAATGCATGTTGTTCCCATTTGCTCACAAAATTGGATCTTTACTATAGGTGTTTCTGTCACAAATAGTCTGTCCTTTAGTGAAAAATATCATATAATCATAGAATAATATAGTTGGAAGAGACCATATGAGCCATCTATTCCAATCCCCTGCCATGCAGGAAAAGCACAAAGTACCCATGTTGTTTGTTTGCTTGGAAACCACCTGTTTATGTTTCCCTTATATAAACTGGAGCCAGCTTAAACCATGTGCAGGCTATTCCCGGGTTATGAACAAGATAAGTTCTGTAGGTTTGTTCTTAAACAGACACATTTTAAGTGTAAGTCCAGCCCATTTTTTGTTTAGTTTGGATAGCATAGAGAAGAACTAACACCCCAGTAATATTTGTTTTGCGGTATCTGCCTCTGTTCAGAAGATGTCACACCACTTTCTGTCCCTATGACAGTTGGATTTTGAAAGTTTTGAGTTGTCATGGAAACAAGGATTAGCAACAAAGCTTCAATTGAGATCCCCCCCCCCCTCCCATGATAGCTCTTAGAGTAGATTTCCTCTCACTTCCTGTTGTTCCACCCCTGTGTAACGTGAATTCAGATGTTTGTAACTTGGGGACTGCCTGTATTGAAAATTGTGTTAATAAATACTTGTGTTTTGTTGCTCACAGAGATATGTTTAAAAGTAAATGCAAATCAATAGAAAAATATCGTTGCTATGAAGATGAATGGACTAAGACATCTTTTGCTGATTATACAGTTACATATGCGGATCAGCCTCCAAATTTTTGGTTTGTGATCTTCAGGTGAATTTCTTTATATATAAACTTTATTTTACATTTAATTATTTTCATATGCTGAACTTGTTTAAATTCTTGTTTAATTTCTTCTATATTTATTGCCATGATAGAGGAATCTCTTCATGTCCATCTTCTACAGTGAAAAATGTGCCGCTCATCTATTCCTTTAAATTCCTTTTACAGATTGTTTTTTTTTTCATTTTCTTTGTTTCTCTAAATTAACACAGATTAGAAAAAGCCGGTTTCATTCACATCTACCTTAAAATATTTTTTTTGCAATTCTGTCTTAGGGAAGTATTTTATGTTCCTGAAGATATGTCCATAGTGCCAAAGTTCTATTCAGCCATACCTACCTGCGTGCTGCACGTTGTCAACAATGACACATTGGAAGAAATACCAAAGATCTTTCTCAGGGTTACACCACATCTTTATACAAAGAATAAGGTGAGAAGCATGAGCATCATAAATGTAATGCTTTTTATTGAGCATTCCACAAAAATCTTTTGATCAGTAATAGAGTTCCAAAATTGATAAGTTATTTTTTTAACCTGAAATTTGAGATGTAAGAGTTTAAATCAAATTGCTGTTCCCAACTAGAGTAGAGCCAGTGAGTGTGTACCAAATCACTTTTCAGGCACATTCTACTGACTTGGTGAGTTGATTCTTATTGGGACTAGAAGCTGGATCTTGGACAAATAGACAAAGACATGTCAATTGTTAGATAAATCCTTTTTGGGGGAATCTTGTGCATACGTATTGGAAAAGTGGTATCTGTAACTTTGAGGAAAGAATTTTTTTAAGCAAATCAAAGGCTGGTTAAAGGACAAGTAGTTAGAACTAAACTATGTTTGTTTGTAGCCAATTCTTATCTCATGCTTCTGAGGTATGAACTAACACTCATATGGTTGCACAGTGGTTATATTGATGGAACTGGCAACAGGATTTAAGCCAATGTGAAATCATCACTCTTGTAGAAGTCCAGTTATGTAACCATCAACCGAACTGTCTATTATACCCTTCTCTGAATACTGACACTGTGTAAACAGTTTTTTTATCTGCCACTGTGCTGCTTATTGTTTCCATGTGCAATTGGGGAGGAACAGTTGCTGTTTCTTCAGACCCAGGGAATAAAGTGTTTGGAATGATGAAGATACTGGCAAATAGTTAATGTGCAGCTGCATAGCTGGTATCCTGTTGTTTGGTCTCAAGCAGATTAGACCCATTGAATCAATTGCACTAAACCCAACTGAAGTTTTGCTGTAACTGGCAACAGGATTTGAGCCAATGTGAAATAATTACTCTTGTAGAAGTCCAGTTATGTAATCATGAACTGAACCTGTCTGTTATATAGTGGCTTAAAAAGTGCAACTACATCTGTAAAAGACGTTGTACATGTGTATAATATCAACAAAATTAGACCAAATAATTTGTTGGAGTGGCAACACAGACTATTATTGTAACGTATAACACAAACTGTATTTATTTGTAAATACAAATAAATGTAACCAATCAAGTCACTCAAAAATGAGACCTTATAAGTTAGCCTAGCTAACTAATCTATTATTTAAATAAATAAATAAATAATTCATGTGTGTTTCATTTAACGAGAAGAGTGGAAAAGCCAAGGGTTTATAATGAAAAGGGTGTGCTATTTATATATTATTTGCCTTTCACAAGGCTGGAAGTAGTCTGAACATATAACAGAAATGTTGAATTCTTATTCTTTAGAATAAGAATTCAAATATCCTCAAAATAACAGTTATAAGTCTGCTTTTTGAAAAAGCTTTTTGTGAATCCCATTATACTCCATAATTATAAGCCAGTTTCCAGATTCATTTCTGAACAAGGGGGGCATGATCACATCTCATTTCCACAGGGTCCTAGGTGACAAAAGCAGCTTTGGTCTTTGGTAAACAGACTACTGCGGAAGCTGACCACAGTATTTGTGTTCTTACTGGTTGTGTTGGGTTTTGAGCAGTTTTGAATATTTCTGGGCTGCCTCTGTGAATATGTGTTTGGAGATACATTTTGGTATTATGACTCCATGCTTTATTGAGAATGCAAACTCATAATATTGTGGTGGGGATTCATGTTCAACTCCATGACCTTTCCCTTGGGAATCCCTTATTTATTTATTTATTTATTTATTTATTTCGAGATTTTATATACCGACCCTCTCACCTTCAAAGAGGGATTCGGACCGGTTCTATGCCCCCCCCCCCAATACTATTTAACATGTGTCTGAAGCTGCTGAAAAAGGATTCCAGGGTTTTGAGATGCATTTCTACCAAAAGCTGAAAACATTCAACTCACCCTATTTCAGTGTAAATCTGGTAATCTGCTTTGGTTCTAAACCAGTTCCTTGCGCCAGTACTAGTTTGGATGAAGATGAATATATTGAAACTTAATTCAGAGAAAATCAAAGTACTCCTGGTTGGCTGAAAGATATACCAGGAAATAGATATTCATCCGACTCTGGATGGTTGAGCATCATCTTAAAACAGCTTTGAGCCCAAGAATAACCCAGAGTCCATATTCCATTTTTTTTATTCCCAAAGATTCCTGATCCTTTATACATACAAAATATAATATATTTGCTGTTTATAAATAGATAGCATGACTGTCAATTCACCATGTTCACAATGTGTGCTCAGCAGTTCCTGAACTATGTTCCCCCAACCCTAGGGTTCTGCAAAAACATTTAAAATAGGGGCTCTGCATTTAAAATATTTTTTTAAATCCATGCCAGAGTGTGAAGATCTTATTGAAATCCAATGTACCTCCACTTTAAAAATGAAATTTGAATTTGTGCCATTGAACAACCTTTTGAGTATGACTGATAAGACCTATACCCACCTGTCAGTAGCCGGAAATGCTCTTTTAACAGTGTTCCACTTCATAGCCTCCTATTTGATGTGAACTAGGCTTTTCAGCTTATGCTTACACCAAAAATAAATTTAAGAGCAGGTTGGATGGCACCCCAGATTTACATATTCAGCTGTCAGACATAATGTTCCGCTTCAAAACTATTTTAAGTGAAAGAAAGAAACAAACAGTTTCATTCATCACTTTAGGTGTGAATCCAATATTTTTTTGTGCCAAAATAAATGTTTGTAGTTATATCCAATAATTTTTCGTGCAAAAATAAAGAGTTTTGGTCATAATTTAAAAGGTTTCCTCTCCCCCACCCCAAACCTATTATGTTAGAAATAGAAATAGATGAGAGAAAGAAGAACATTGTGTGTTCACAATGTTTAGGGACAGAGTTAAACATCTTCTGAGGGGTTCTACGACCAAAAACATTTGGGAACTGCTGGTATAATTCACAACTCAGTATTAAAAATATGAGTACTGGCATTCTGTTGAGCAGTTACATTATATGCATACATAGTTACATTTTGATAACTATCTGTAATGTAGAATTTATATTTTAATGAATGTACATTACATATAACAGAAGTATTGGCTAAAGAGGCAGCAGTGGTATCAGATAGTGGGCAATATCAAAAAGATAGCCTTTTTGGTATGTTGATATCATATACAGAACATTCAGTTGAAATGATACTGCTATTACATATCTACAGTATTCTGAAATTATGAGAACTACTAGCAAGATGTTTCAAGATTGCTACAAAACATCGTCAGTGTATAGAATTTACTTTGTGAACTTGTTTCCCAAACTGGATATTATATGGCTTTCTTAATGGAGTTATTCTTAATTCTTTTTACGTATTGTGGGATAATAGTTTTGCATATGGTGACCTAGCAGCAGGTATGTTTTTCTTCATTAATATATTTCTCCATGCTTTTGTATATGAATTACCATGTTGAATATGAAGTTTTCTTTTTTTCTTCTTTTTTTACAAAATTCATTGTTTTGTTACAGAAAGGATATACTTTTATGGCTGAAGTTCATACTGGAGAATCACCTGTGATGGCAGGAAAGTGGAAGCTTCGGCTTATAGGTTCTGGCAGCCCCCTTCCAATTCTATCTCGAGAGGCTGTGAACAATTTGTATTCCATTAAAGAAGTTAAGGACTATTATGTGCCAAATGATAAACATATAATATTCAGGTACATTTTATTTATTTATTTGTTTGTTTGTTTGTTTATTTAGAGCATTTATATCCCATCCTTCTCACCCCTGAAAAGGGACTCTTACAATAAGCAACCATTAGATGCCAAACAATACATTAAAATACACAGTTACAATTAAAAGAGCAATTAAAAACAATTATAAAAATTCAGTGTAAAATTGGGGAAGTGGCTTAGATATCTACACATACTTTTAAAGTGTGTGCTTGCACATATTACTTTAGACATAGAGTATGTTGATGCATTGGTGATAAATAATGTATTTATCAGGGGATTTTAAAAAGTAAGAAATACTAGGAAATGATATAGAGAAATATTCCTTGTGGAATACAGTGTAACTTCTGCCTATTACATTGGAAAACAACCCAATCAGCTGAACATTATGACAAACACTGGAAAATTGATGGTTTAACTGTAATTTGCCAGTACCTTTGAATGTATAACATATGATGTAAAATACAAGCTGTATTTATTAGTAAATAAGATAATACACAACCCCCAGATTTTCATCAATAGACAAAAATAAGACAATAATAAACTAGTCTTAGCATTGCATATGGGTTTTAGTCTTTGAAATCAATATGATCCAAAAGGGAGTCCAAGTCTGACTACAAGCTGACCAGAAATGTTGAGTGGTTCTCTCTAAAGTGATTCCAATTCATTTTGAATCACTTACCCTACATTTCTGCTTTGAGGTATGGATTTGTTTGAAGTTCAGATAACAGTCAGGAAACGTTTAGAGAGACTGAAACGGGCATAAAAATTAAATACTATATTTAGGTATATAAGCATTCAGAACACACTGTGAGAAGAGGCTGAAGTTACAATTCACTTCCCAGTTTGTTTTTTTTTTAAAAAGTCTTTCAAAAACTGCATTCTTTTGAATTGCCGAAAGTAATGGTATCTAACTCAGTTAGTAACCAGTTGTGATATTTTTCTTTTTCAGATATTCAGTAAAAGTCACAATGCCACTCATTGCTACTGTCCAGGTTCAGACCTCTAAACCAGATACAATAGTTAAACTACAGGTTCTGGATTCTGAGGAAGAAATGGTGAATTCTTTTGGAAAGGGGCATGTTGTCATTCCAGCATTTCATTTCATATCTTCTGAAAGGCCTTCAAGTAGTTTTTGTAAGCTTTATTTGTTGCATGTTGGGTTATGAATGTTTCATTCTAGGGAACATAAAACCTGCCATTAGATTTGAATGTATACCTATGTTTTGTTTTACCCAGATATACTCATATATAAGTCGGCCTAAGTATAAGTCAAAGGCAGGTTTTGGAGTTATGGATTTTTATGTGACCTATGGAAAAGTCTAGTCATTCTGTGGAGAAGAGAAATCACCAATGCTGCCTCAGGGGCAGTTGTCCCTGGCCTCTGCTGCTATTTCCCCACCCAGGCAATCAAAAAGACCAAAAGCACCATGATGGGTTCTCTTGGAATAGGCCAAGCTCTTGCCTTTCACCAGTCACAGAGAAGGGAATGGTTCCTTTTTTTGAGAAGAGTTAAAGTATAGTACTTACACTATAGTACTTATATGGATAAGCTGACCCAAGGTTTGGGGGCAGTTTTTTAAACTAACATTTCTACACTTATATAGAAACATATAGGGTAATTCCTTGTTACTATATGTTTGCTGCTACACCCATGGTAGATAATCATAGATAATCTGACTTGTAATGTCTATAGTGAGCTTCCTAAATATAAAGCCAGATCATGGAGTCAACATTCATTCCCAAAAGCATATATATCCTGAAATGACATAGATATTCACAATCCAGCACAGCAAAACGTTGTAGGATGCTGTTATTAACCACAGAGAGACTTGTCACCTCCCTCTCCAGCCTTCTGTGCCTTTCCACCAAAAGATTTTAAGGGAGCTGATGGTGCTGGAAGTCACAGTAGGAAGAAAGGATCACAAAAATCACCTCTGCTCCTTTTACACTGGCCAAAGTCTCCCAAGTTTCTCAAAGAGTGTTCCCAAACCTGAAGGGAAGTGTGGATCCAACAGATAGTATTGAGTACTGCCAGAGAAAAGACACCTTGATGATAATTCAGTGACCTCCTTCAGTAGAATTATTCTCAGGTACTAAAAAGCTAACAAATTAACTCTAGTAACCACACATATTTTAATTGTTTCATTATCTTTTGCAAAGTGCAATCTTTCATTTATTGGTGCTATCTTTTGTCTTCACCCCCACTGACCAATAAAAGGCACACATACATTGAATAGATACCTGTTCAGAATTATTTGTCTCATCTGTAATATGCCAAATTGACTTATTTGTCCATCTTTCCTCTTTTGGAAAGAGTTATCTTAGATACTGTATATACAGGCAATCCTGGGGATAGAGGCAAGATAGGATATGTAGGTTTGTTGGTTGGGCAAAGGCACCCAAGAGGTGGCCAATGAGTTCCCTCCCTGTGAGCGAAACACACTACTTCCTCCTTTGCATCATTTGGAATTAGGCAATTTGCATAACTTGGATGCTTCCTGTACTCATGTATAAGTCGACCTCATTTATTGAAGTCAAGAACAGATTTTGGGACCCAAATTATGATAAGATCCACACATGTCAAGGGACATTCTGCAGAGAGGGAAAAACAGCAGTGCTGCCTCAGGGAGTCAGCTACCCTTAGTCACCGCCACCACCATTTTCTTGCCTAGACATTCAAAAGAAGCTACTTGGCAGTGGAGAGAGTAGAGAGCATCAGTACTTGCATCCAAAATAATAAGCACCAGTCATTAAAGTAGTTGCATTTTCCACAGCAACAGCAAGTAAAGGTGGAGTAGTTCAAAATACTCCCAAAAAGGAGACTGAAGTTATCACATCTAAGAAAAAAGGTTCTCTGGCAACTCAGAAAAATGTCAAGTCTTCATCAAAGACATCACAGGAAGGTCCAGTTCAAACAGAAGAAGAAACTATAATTGTACCTGTTATTGAGGAAAGTGTAAATCAGCAGGTGAGATATTTTAAAGAAATGTTTGGAAAAGTTTTGAGAAAATATAATGAAGAGTTTCTGCTAAAGTGTTTCCTTCTAGAATAAATAACTCATCCTACAGCTTCTGTATTTGCACAGCAGAGTATAGAATCAAGTGCATGAATCTCAGTATATACACAGAGTTTTATCCTTCTATCCTTCTGTTGGACATTCATTCGTTGGATGGCACGGAGAAGAAAACCATAGTGAATAATCCAAATCTCACAAAGATACTCTAAAATCTCACAACAGTTTATCAGATTTTTGTCATGCTTTTGCTAAAAGTCTTACAAAAGAATGTTTCTCAAGATGGGTTGCAACATTTCATGGGTATGATGGGCTTAATGCTTAAAGACTATTATGTATAGGAAGCAGAATGCAAGGTAGAGAGAGAAAGAGGTGAAGAAACTTGTGCAGTGAATTAGAGGAAGTCCCTTCTTCAGTTTTTAAACTATCAATGTAGAAAGCTTGAAAGAAAGAATGTCCACAGTAACAACACATAGGATTTATTTCCGTATTTCTTTGTAGACAGTTATGGGATCCCAACACTACTCCCTATGCTTGTGGTCTTTGTAAATCCCATCATGACATTTTTGCCAATTTCTTCCCATAATTGTATGTATTTCCAAATAAATCAGCATTTAAAGAAATCAATTCTCTCTCTCTCTCTCTCTCTCTCTCTCTCACACACACACACACACACACACACACATATATATCTTTTTAATATATTTCAGCCATGTTTGAAACTGCCCAACAACTCCCTTGAAACTTTCAGAAGATACTGTCCAGAGGACTGCTATTTAAAGATTAAGATGAATGGGGCCCAATCTGGTTATTTCTTACAGATTCACAACTAGATTCTTGAAATATCTCGACTTTTCCCTCTCTTTCATTCCCTTTTTCCTCCAATTAAAGGAATCCAACTCGGGTACCAAAAGGATGATCACTAAAATCATGTTACTAATATACCATAATGAACTCTACTTATGAAATAATAATATATTCCATTTGGAATTTTCAGCCTCACAAATACATTATACAAGCTTCAGTATTGCATAATAGTTGGCCACTTACAGAGAGTCAAATGGTATTCGTTCAAGCATTGAAAGAATTGGAAAAAAATGAAATCAAAGGTAAGTCAATGTCTTATAATTTTAAAATTGCTTATTAAATAAAAACTAAGTTCAGTAAGATAAACTCTTGTACCATTTAAGAGAGGAAAGTGCAATATTATTTTGATTTTTTTTTTGTGGGGTTTTTTGGCAATTGAATGTTTGCCTTATATGTTGGATACCCCTGTGGCTGGATTTTGAGCACAAACCTTCCAAGGTGTCAAAAAAACTGGACGTTGGTTTTTTGGTTTTGTCCAATGTCCAAAAACCTGGACATTGGTTTCCTTCTGTTCTGTCTGTCGCTGTATTGTCTATCCAGGTATTGAATGTTTGCTGTGTATGTGTACTGTGATCCGCCCTGAGTCCCCTTGGGGAGATAGGGCAAAATATAAAATGTTATTATTAAACCCCCCTGAGTCAATTCAGGGAGGTATGGTGGTATACAAATAAAGATGAAGATGAAGATGATGATGATGATTATGGCTGCATAATAGAGAAATTTCCACTATCAGAACTATGTTAGCAATTCATTTCTTGTTTACTTGTTTTCCTGTCGTAGTTAACTGCGAATCGCACATTATGGTATTCCTGCGCCAGCGCAGGCCAACTTCGGAACCTTCTAGAAGCTTAAAATTAATGTATCCCCCTCAGGCCCCACCTCCCCCTCTCGAGTATATAAGCCCCAACGAAGGGCCAGCCTCCATTCCTCTTTTTTCCGCCGATAGTAGGCTATCAACTAGAGAACCTTTGATATAGATCTTCTGGCTTTTTTGAACTTGGACTGGATATCTGACGACGAGACACTCTATTTCCCCCTCACTTCGGACAGGACTTCGACTCTTCTTTCGCCTTCTCCCATCGTGGTGTAGTCATGGCTACAACTTCTTTCAAGAAGTGCACGGCATGCCCGAATGTCCTCCCGGACACAGACGGACATGTTCTCTGCCTTGCATGCCTCGGAGAGGGGCATCTATCCCAACCCTGTGGGATTTGTGCCGCTTTTACGCCGCAGACGCGTAAAAACAGGGAGCTGCGGCTCAAGGCTGCCCTATATGAAAGGGCCTTACTACCGCCGCCACCCGCTGCCAGACCACCACCAACAGGGGAGCCCTCTGCCTTACCTGACTTGACGAGGCCAGATCCATCAGGCCTGAAAAAGAAGGCCAAGAAGAAGGCCTCTCAAGATGGCCGCGCCGAGGGTGCACAGCCTAAGCCTTCTTCTAAAAAGGCGGGAAGGCCCTCTGGCATCGCTCCCCCAAAGATACAGAGAGCGATTGCGCTCCCTCTGCCGGCAGGCACTGAGGGAGCACAGGAAGGACGCCCAGCCCCGATCCTCAACCAGGCCTCGCCGAGACCGGAGAGCATCTCGGGGCTCGGATCGGGGCCTGCTCCTGCTCCCATGACATCGCCGAGATCGGCAACGGAGCCGAAGGCAGCGCGCTCAAGGCAGACGACTCCCATCCCGGCATCCACCTCGATGCGCGCCGAGCTCGAGTCCCCCGGTGTCGAGAGGCCTGCGTCCTCAGGGGGCGTGGCCTCTCCGCAACAGACGGACGCCCCTCCTACAGAAGGGGCGGGGGAGCGTGAAGTGTTGCCGGCTGCAGTGAGGGGCCCCTCCCCTCTTCCAGCTGATGAGAGCCTCTTCCCCAGACCGACAGCGCCGGTACCGTTGACATCGGGAGGAAGGCGCAGAAGAGGAGCGAGATCGCGGTCCCCATCGCGCCGCAGCCGCCATCCCAGAGCTTCCCGGCATCGGCGCTCCTCGAGGGGAAGATCCAGGCCAGGATCACCATCCTCCTCGGCAGGTTCTTCCTCCTCCTCCTCATCCTCTTCATCCTCCTCCTCTTCTAGGGGCTCTAAAAGATCGCGCCGCTCCAGACGCCCCCACTCGACCCCTGTTCAATGGGGCCCGTATGGACCTGGACCTTATGCTCACCCAGGCTTCTGGCAAATGGGACCACAGGGGCAATTCATGTACCCCCAACATCCCACCCCTCCTTTTGCCCCGCTTCCCAGAATGGATGCTATCCAGGGAATTCAGCAGAGGGGATATGGGACCTCAACAACTGTTTTTCCCATGCCGGCCTCTACACCTGCTACAGGAGTGCGTCCTTCCCTGAGTGGACTTGGACAATCTAACTGTACTGAGCAAAATAATTGTGTTGAACAACCTTGTGTTGAACAGACTTCTAATTGTGTTGACCGTAACTGTGTAGACCTATCTAATTGTGCTGTACAGAACAATGGTGATAATGCTGTTGGGACACTTGCCCTTGCTAACCCTGAGCCACCCTGCACCCCACAGATATCTCAGGGGATGGTCATGCCCACAGGAGAACGTAGCACTAATGAGTTAGAGGACTCAGATTCCTCTGCAGACTCACAAGAATTACAACAGACCCAGGCAGCGTCTGATACGACAGCTCTGCCTCCAGATTTCAACAAATTTTCATCCTTGGTGGATAGGATGATCAAGGCATTAGACATCCCAGCCCCAAGGGCGCCAGAGCATGTAGAGGACCCCATGTTCCCTTCGGACGAACAAAATGTCCCGTCCTCTACATCTCTGCCCATACTCCCGTATCTAATCAAGTTGGCCAAGATACTGGATACTTCACCGGCCACAGTGCCCGCTACACCTAGGAAGGTAGACTCCCTATATCGGATTGACTTGACAGCAGCCAAATGGGTGTTGAACCCCCCAAGGCCCAACACTGTTGTGGCAGAGGTGGTCAAGTCAAAGAAACCAAAAAGCACTCTTTCGCCCCCCCCCCCGATAGGGAGGGTAAGAAAATCGATTTGCTGGGAAAGCTCATTTAGCAGCGGGCCTGGTCGCTCGTATGGCGCATTATGCAACATACATGAGTGGCTATCAGACCTTCCTCTGGTCTAAGATGCTCCCATTTTTGGACAAACTTCCTCCGGAGGAGCAGCGCTTTCCGAAAGCGCTGCAGTCTGAGGCCCTCTTGCTGTCGAAAATCCAGAAGGATTTCGCGAAACACCTGGCTGAGTCTGCGGGCCATTTATTCGCAACGGCAACGTCGATTAGAAGACATGCATGGCTGAGAGCAGCCAATCTCTCGGAAGAGGGCAAGGCTTTAGCGGAGGACCTTCTTCTTCATGAGGAAGGCCTCTTCAACCCCGAGACAGACGTCACCATTAAGGAAAAACAGGAGGTCAGGCAAGCTACCAATAAATTTGGATATACCTGGCAGCCCTACCAGAACAGAAGTAGATGGCAACCACCGAACAATTATCGTAAGAATTATAACAACTCTTTTTCTGGGTCATTCAGGGGTCGGGGCTCCTCATCCCCTAGGTACCAGGGCAACAAGAGAAATACTTACCAATCCAAGACAAGATATCAGCCTTACCAGGGAAAACCAAAGGGTCAAGGGGCCTCCAGGAAGCGTCTTTGATGCTCCCGTTCCAGAGATTGCTCCTGTTCTGGCCCAAGGTGATTTGCCAGCAGAGAGTCCCGAAGAGTTAACTGTTAACCCGGATGGTCACGTTGGACCACCGTGTGGTTCTTCCCCTTCCCCTGTCTGGTTTGACAATAGGCTACAAGCCTTCCAATCCAAATGGAGAAAAATAACTACAGCCAAATGGGTTTTGTCAATAGTTACACAGGGCTATTCCATTGAATTTAAGGAGACGCCTTCAGTTGGAACAGTTAAAGTCACCCCCCTTCTCAAATTCTGTCTCAGGAAATCGAGACGCTTCTGAGTAAGGGTGCTATTTCGCAGGTTTACCCTTCAGAGTTTAATGCTTGTTTTTTCTCTAAATATTTTGTGATCTCCAAAAAAGGAGGTGGTTTCAGGGCTATACTGAACTTGAGAGAGTTGAATAAATCGATTTCACCGAAGAAATTTCGTATGGTGACTCTTTCTTCCCTGATGCCCCTTTTACCGGAATATGCCTGGTTCGCGACCATAGATTTACGGGATGCCTATTTTCACTTGTCAATAGTGCCGCACCACCGTAGGTTTCTTGCCTTTATGGTGGGCGACAGGGCATTTCGTTATAATGTACTCCCATTTGGTTTAAGCACGGCCCCCCGGGTGTTTACCAAGTGTATGGCGGTGGTGGTAGCACACCTCCGTACACGCGGGATCGTGGTTTACCCGTATATTGATGACTGGATGATAGTTTCACGGTCAGCAGAAAAACTCCGGGGTCACGTCCATATTGTTCTGTGTCTTTTACAGTCACTTGGGTTGGTGGTCAACGTGGACAAGTCTTCCCTACAGCCTACGCGTGGGATCCTCTTCATCGGAGCCTTCCTGGATGCGATTACCCAGAGGGCATACCTACCGCCGGACAGGTTTGCCAATTTGCAGTTGCAGGTCCCAGCTATCATGGAGGCCCAGGTGGTGTCTGCCAATCAAATACAGACTCTACTGGGTCACATGGCATCCACCACGGCGGTGACGCCTTTCTCACGTCTACACATGCATCCTCTCCAGTTCTGGTTTGGCACGGTATTCAATCCTCTTACGGATTCCCCACAGACCAGACTTATTTTACCACCGGAGGTCTGCCGCTCCTTAGAGTGGTGGACCCTGCCCCAATTTGTTTGTGCTGGCCTCCCTTTCCATATGCCGTACCCTACCAGAATAATCACGACGGATTTGTCGCTGACGGGATGGGGGGCTCATTCGCAAGGAGCCGTCGCTCACGGCAGGTGGTCTACAAGAGAAGCAGAGCTGCACATAAACATTCTAGAGTTACTAGCCGTAGAAAAGGCTCTAAAGTCATTTGAAGGATTAATACTGGGTCAAACAGTTCAAATACTGACAGACAACACAACAGTTATGTATTATTTGAACAAGCAGGGAGGAACCCACTCCCCACAGTTACTGGAACTCACACTACAAATCTGGGAATGGTGCATTCAGAGGGAAATATACCTCCAGGTCACACACCTCCCAGGACAGGAGAATTCCTTAGCGGACGCCCTCAGCAGGAACCCGCTAGGGAACCATGACTGGTCCCTCAACCACGAGGAACTACGGAGAGTT